ATTCTGTCTCCCGTGTCTTCTGCATGCTGCTCCTTGCCATTTAACGCCGTGCGGAAGCTCCATAGCACACAGTTTGGCTTTCTGTCATTTTCTTTTTCCCCTTGGGAACTCCCAGATCTTCACACATTTGCCTTTGAGGAACCCAGGCGGGCTTCTTTCTCTGCGCTACCATCTTCTTACCTCCTTAGGCTGCTCTCTCACTTCACAGACAGACAGACGCCCTTCACACGCTGCTCTAAGCCACTGAGACCTGTCAAAACTTGTCCTGTTTCATAATGATCTTGTCCCACCACAGGGCTCAGCAAAAATCAATGAAGTTCCACACTGCTCTTGAGGTCCTTCCCTGGGTCAACCTTTTCTTTAACTCCTAGGTGAACACCTTTCTTTGTGGCCCAGTGGGGTTCCAACTTCTCTTATCCCCACTTCCCTCAATAGCATCTGCCCCTCCTCTTGAAGGGACCAACCCCGCCCCCCACACCCCTGTTTTGGCAGCTGTGACAGGCTACCATGTGCTCCCCTGACCTCGGAGGCCAGACGCCCTTCTCGAGGCAAGGAACCAATCAGAAGTTAGCTGGTGGGGCTGTGCTTTACGGCTCTGGGTGTGCTTTATGGACAAGTGCACAACAGTGACGTACAGAGCATAGCATCCGCCCTGGGAGGGCCTATGGGTCATAACAACCAGTTGACCAATCAACACAGGGCAGGTCGTTCAAGCCTGGAAGTGCACCAATCCTGAGACTGCTGCATACCCCTAGATACTCCCCTTACAGCCCTATAAGTTCCCTGCCTCGTGATTTCTAAGAGGTCTTTTCTCCAACCATCCGCTGCACAACACTCTATGTTCCCCCGGCTCCTGATACTTGTGGGGACTTTAGAGATAACTGAGTGTTCCTAATGGCTTTGATCAGTCAGTCCATCCAGGGTTGACTTCCACCAGTGTCTCAGAGTTCGCCTTCGCCTTAAGGAGGGATGGGAGGTTTATATCACCCACTTTTCCTTCTTCCACGGCAGCTGGACCGATCCTGTCCACTGCCATGTCCTACAGCCTTGCTAACCCAGCCTGAGACAGGCTCCTTCATTCGAAAGCCTCCCCTAACTCTCAGCAACTCAAGGGCTGAGCATTTCCTGATCACACTAGTTTCTTGCACCAAACCAAGGCTGATGCTCCCACCTGCATACTGGGTTAGAGGTTTTTCCCTCCTTTCCTACTAAAGGTTGGATCCTCTATCGATTTTACCATCTTCTCTTCCTCGATCTCTGAATCTCCCAATGGGTTCCAAGTTCTTGGGTCCCAGGAAGGGCTTCTGAGCACGGCTCTAACTGTGCTATCTTTTCCCTCTGGCCCTGGCAAGACAACACCTCCATCTCATCCTCTCTTTACCTACTTTACCTGTCTGATCGGTGGCCAACATGGAGGATGCCGCCACACCCCCCCTTTCTTGCTGTAATTGCTCCTTGACACAAAGAACTTCCTGCTTGACGCACACAACTTCCTGCTCGGCTGCCATCTTGGCCTCAGATGCGTTTTCTGGCTATGCGCAACCCACCTTCTAACTACGAAGCCTCTGCCGCTGCTTGTCTCGACCTTTCTGCAAAAAAAAAAAAAAAAAAAAAAAAAAAATCTCAAAGATGGCAACATTTCCTCGAAGCCATTTTTAGCTGCCTTCAGGGAATCTCCATATATATATGTGGTGGACTTCACCCGCCAAGCAGGCATACCGCATGTAGACGGAGACTGCAGTCCCGGGATTCTCTCACGGGCGCTCCTGATTCTGATGGCTCAGCCTTAGTCCGCATACCTCACGATGCACAGCAAGAACCGTGCAACCTCTGTCATACAAAGGCGCGCTAACACACGTGGTCTAGGAAGGGGACAACTCTATAAGAATTTCCTCCGAGGGTGCTCCCCGCCCATCAGGCTTCTCTGCCTCAGGTGCGTGCCTTGTTGCCTCCAGCCAGGACCATGCTCCCACACTCCTCCCCAACTCATCTTTGGTTCTGTCGGCTCCCTGTGTGGGTGCGAATTGTGTTGTGTGAAAAGATAGGGTCCCCCCATCCCGGACAGACCCAAGTGTGGGCATCACCAAAGTGACACAACAGAAGAGATGCTCTGTCTCGAGAGTGAGCGAGCCCCGGCACAGTCTCGAGTGTTCTTGGAGGTCAGAGAACTTTTGTTGTGTTGTAAGTAATTGGGGGGGGTCTTATCAAGGCTGCCGGGGAGGAGGGGGGCAAGGTAAGGAGTAAAACGCTGTACCAGGCAGTGGCTGACAAGCTTCGAGATTTTTGCAGCATCCGTCCTGCTGGCCCTCTGTTCTCTTGTTCTCCTAAGAGGCCAGGGCTTCCAGCGCGGTCTCCAGCCACCACCAGGCCGGCTGCCTGGCTGCCCCTTTGTGTTCTCCGCCATGCTGGACTGCAACCCCTCAGTCTGTGCGCCAACACCATACGCCCTTCCTCCCTCGAGTTGCTTCTTTTTTTTTTTTTTTTTTTTTGGTTACGTGTTTGGTCACAACTACAAGAAACACAGCCAACGCCTGACATCTGCCTGCTCTATTCAGGATCCAGGAGTCATTCTGGCTTCTCTTCTCACTGCCCAGCCCACAAGTCAGTCCTCTGGGCTTTATTTCCATCACAAAACGCGCCCCCCCCCGTCTGCTACAGCCATCACTGGCCCTGAACCACTCAGTGGCCAGGTCCATCCCCTCAGATTCCTCTCCTGTGACTCCTCCTTCACCTCATTAGCCAACCTCGTCGTGGGCAAATCCCATGAGGTCACCTTTTTCTTCTGGATCCAAAGCGAAGAACAGAATCGAACCCTTTTGGTATCCCATGACCCAACCCCTACCCCTCTTCATGCTCACACCTGGCACACCAGCCTCTGCCTGTTCCTAGGACAGCCCTCGCTGCTGCCCCCATGACCTTTGCACTTAGGGTTCCTTGGGATCCCCCTTCTCTTCATTGCCACAGGTCTGGCTGTGTTTCACAGTTCAAATCTAATGTCATGGGATGCTTTTTCCTGACCCTGCTGTGCAAGGACGTCCTTCCTCCACTTCCTCCCAGTGTCCCAGCTGCTAATGCCCCTCCCAGTGCTTGCCCCTTTGAAAGTCACCCTGTTAGAGTATCCCGCTAATCTTTTTACCGTTTCCCCATAAGCAAACATAGGCTCAGGGAGGACAGAGTCTTGACATATGGTCCTTATGGTGTTCCAGAACTTTTTTTCAGTGCCTGGGATCTCTGGGTGTTTCTGGACACTCCCGTGTCTAGTCAATGATTGAAGGATGACTTTGACTCTTTTCACATCCAAACTAACCACTCAGGCAGGGCCACCTTTAACCCCGATCAGCGTTGTCACTCACCAATGACTAACGCAGAGTCAGAGAGTGTGCTACTAGGATTCTCCCTCTGGGTGACAGCCGCTGGGGACCATTAGCTCCTTCTGTGACATTGCCTGTGAAGATAAAGGACAGTGTGCCATATATCTGGCCGTAGAGTCTGCAGTCTGGTTTCTCAGCCTCATCAGTATCACAGCGAAGCCTCTGTGGGTTACCCCGACACAAATCGTTTCCATTGGTTCCCGAGACCCCCCAGAAAACCGTGCATCCTGGCTTGCTCCCATTTCTTCTCAGATTCACGTTGCAGACTCAGGCCGCCTCTGTCCCATGAGCTGTCATAGGCTGAGGACGTCTCTCAGGGGTACTTTATTCTGCAAGTCAACACCACAGAGGAAAGGTGGCCCCAAAGGCCTTTGGTTTACAGATTAGTCCTCCATTCACAGAAGTAGGGGTGGGTGAGCGTGCAGGGGAGTAGGAGATGGATAGAGGGGGGCCTGTAACCCCAGTCCTCTGAAAGATGAGGCAGAAGGAGTGTGACCTACAGAGTAAGACTGTCTCAAAAACAGCAACAATGACAAAAGTACTCTAAAAATTGAGAATTACACTTGCAAATAACACGTCAGTAAAAGTGCCCACAAATGCCGGGGCTTCAGTGAGATAGAATTTGAATGCCTTCTCCATGACACTTGGGGACAGTGGCCCAATGTGGCTCCAATGACTGTCTCTCATCTGCTTAGTTCCCTAGCATAGTGCCGAATCCACACCCATTACTGAGTAAGGAAGAGATGCAGAGGCATACCCCTCTGAAGGGCATTGGTTCAAATCCCAGGTGGCAATTAGTTTGGTCTTGTCATGTGACCTCACTTAGCTGCAAGGAATCCTGGGAAATGTAGTCCAGTTGGGTGAGTCTGCTATTTGGAGAGATGACAATAAATATTTGAAGATAAGGCTGGCTCAGCGGGTAAGAGCACTGGTTGCTCTTGCAGAGGACCTGGGTTCAATTCTCAGCACCCATACGGTAGATCACAACCATTCACAACTCCAGTTCCAAGGGATCTAGCACTATATATGCTCATGGTACACACACACACACACACACACACACACACACACACACACACACACACACAGGCAAACCACGAGCCTACACATGAAATACAATAAATCAATCTAAAAACAATTAAAAAATGTGATGACAGACTAAAGAATGGTTCCACCCAAGACCTTCACTGAGGTTATTACAAGGGTGATGGGTCAGAGGAACAGGGTGACTTGAAGGCTGCTGTGTCACTGTAAAGTCCACTCCAGCGCAGGTGATGGTTTATGGAAGTTAGGTCCCCGGAGCTCCCTCCCGGACATGCAGACAGCTTGGCGGGTGGACCTCTTCCAGCAGTTGTTTTTGTTTTTGTTTTTTTCTTTTAAGAGTGTAACTCTGGGGAGAGATCTTGTGAATCTTGAAACTTTTCAGAAACTTTGTTTCTGTTTTGTGTTTTTTGAGAAGTGGTCTATCTTACTGTGTAGTCCAGGCTGGCCTCCAACTTTAAATCTTTCTATTTACATTACCCAGATACTGGGATTGTGTGTGTGTGTGTGTGTGTGTGTGTAAGGATGAATAAGAATTAATTTTGTAGGACGAAATACAAGCTAAGAACTTAGATGAACTCAGACAGCTAGAGAAAACTTTCTTTAATGCAAGAGGTGGTGTCTCAAGTTATGGCCACACTGTGATTAAGGCACAGAACACACAATGACCAGAGTCCAGAGGACCCCAGCTTAGTGCTTCAGACTGAGGTCTTCGTAGCTAAGGTTAAGAAACCAGAATGAAGAAGTTAGCTGCTTTCCTTAGACAAGCTGTTTTTGCAAACACAGGTGAGGCACTGGGTGTCTGATGTCAGGGGCACCCACTTGGCCTCTGTAATCCCCCCAAAAGTGACTTCCTGGGATTATGAGCTCAGTTTTTTACCTTGGCATGGGGAGTGCTCCTTTAGTGTGCGTGTGCATGTGATGGTGGTGGAGTGTATGTGCGTGTGCATGTGTGTGTAGGTGTGTGCTTCCTCTATAACTCTCCACCCTACTCCTTTGAGACGGGGTCTCTCACAGAAACTGGAGTTCCCTGTTTTTTTGGTTAGGCTGGTAGCTTGTCCTATCTCCTCTCTACTCCACCAGCAGCGGGACTAAAGGCGCACATGGCTTTTGAAATGGGTGCTGGGGACCCTCACTCAGGCGGTCATCATGTTTGTGTGGCAAGCACAGTTAGCTGCCGGGCCATTTTCCTGGTTTCATTTTCAACTGTAATTAAAACCCACAGGAGATCTTATTCATATGATTCTGTGTACCATTTTTTTAACCACACGAGAAAACCAAAACAGACAAATGCCTAAAACATTCATTTCAAAGTAATAACAATAAACCCAGCACATGTTTCTATGAATGGCACTTAAAAAAAGAAAGAAAGAAAGAAAATCAGCATTTCCTAAAACAGCCACAGAAGGGTTAGCTGAAGGAAGCCGTCGTTCGAGATCTCAATAAACCCCCCTAGAAATCGACTTTGTGAAAGGTGGTGTGTCTCGCTCATCCTTGCCTCCCTGGGTTTGGTTCTTGCAGAGTTACACTTTTGGAACTGTCCACACTCGGAGATCTAAGAAAGGAGGTGGCCAAGGGGACCCGTCAGAGTAGCTCTGATGTCACAGGTCAAGAGACTCAGGAAGCCTGGTGTCTTCAGGTGTAGACCTGTTCCCACCTCTTCCTTGTTGACTGGAAGAGAAAATCCGGGTATCCAGCAGGGGCTTGTGAGTTCCTGAGTTCCTCAAGCCGATCAGCACAACAGGGATCAAAGGATGCCCCGATGTCCCATTCCCACAACTTCCCGGACAAGGCTGTGTCCCTGTCACAGGTTTCAGTGCAACTTGAACATCCAGATATTTGTCTCTGCTCCGAAGGAAGTGTGGCAGCGTCTGAAGTAAAAACAAGGAAGTGTGGCAGCTTCTGAAGTAAAAACAAGGACGTGTGGCAGCTTCTGAAGTTAAGAACAACGACCGACCAAGGTTGAGGCTGTGGAGCATCTGACAGCCTCGTATCCCTGGTGATCTCTGCTCTGGCTGCCTCATGGGCAGCGGCCCCCACAGTGACCCCTGGTGCTTTCTGTATGTGAGGTGGAGCCCTGAGCAGTGAGAGGAGGCATTGCAACCCAGAGGAACGTTCCCTTCAGAGAGTGGAGCAAAGGTGACCCGGGCCTAGAGCTGACTTGGAGGAGGGGAGCAAGCTCCCGGCCGGGGCCAACCCCGCCTTCTGGGATGGGCGCCTCTGGCCTGCTTTGACCTCTAGGCTGGGGTCACCTCTTCATTCTCATTCCCGGAATGGACTGGATCGTTTTAGCTATGTGCCAGCTAAATGAAGAGAGGTCAACTTGTCGTTTCTGGGGGCTCCTGGAGAGGAGCTTAGGAATGGCTGCCACCAGCTTTTGGGTGGCGTTCCAGGAAGAGCAAGGCCTGGACAAACAGTCCCTCCACTGGGCTCCCAGGTGTCATGGGCATGAGTCACCCAGATGCTATCTGGAGGGAGAAAGTCCAGACAGGGTCACCAGTGAGTCACAGGGGCCCCATCAAAGACCTTTGGGATATACAGAAACCAAGTCAGAAAAGACAAAACAAAACACATGAAAACCCTTACTGGGAGACCATTAAGCAAAGTCTTAACTTTGCACCAGCAGAAAGGGTGGGCTTGGGGTGGGGATCCCCCAAGCCTTTGGTGCCCCGATACCTGTTGAGAACCTTCTCTGCTGTGTGTTTGGAGATCCCTGTGAATCCCAGGTTGAACTTGAACTCACCGGGTATACTGCCCCGCTTGGCTTTGAACTCAAAAGCAATCTTCCTTATCAGTTTCCTGATGGGACACCAGAGGGCCACTATGAAGAGTTCCATTGCAAGGACAGGGACATTGTGACTTCTGGAGGGGAGGCACCGGGGTCTTGACAGGGCTAGGGAAGGGCCATGGGACCAGGAAGGCCAGGCTCAGCGGATTTAACGTGGGTTTTCTCCACAGTGAGCACCAGCGCAGGGCTCATGTGATAAGGGTTCAGTTCCTTTCCTTTTTTAAGACTCGTTTGACATCATAACACTAATCTGCCCGATAAGGCTTTTATGGTTGTTATAAATGTGAATTATTAAATGTTTGCCCAGTCGATTGAAACACTGGAGTGACTTTAAAGGGATGTTAAAAGCATAGTTTCCCATAAAGTCCATTTCCATGGCTCCCCTTGAAACGTTTTGGAAGTTCAGAAGGCCGCACCCACCATACAGCACCATCGGCACTCATTTTGCCCAGACCAGACAGTGCCTGCGTTGCTCATTTTGGATCCATTGCTCAAATCATGACTTTCCTAAGGACATCGCAGGTCCACCCTGGTTAGGTTCCTGTTCCCCACGTCGTGGCAAGAGGAGATAAGAGAGCCCGGACTCGCTTTGCGCATTTGCCCTGCAGAGCCCAGTGTTTGCGGAACGAACGCCGGAAGTCGGCCTCAGACGGTGGGAGGAAGAAGTACAACTCTCCAGGACCTCGTCGGAGTCTACAGCCCCACAGAGAGCCCAAAGGAAGCCAACAGCAGTTCCTTGGCTGCTGCCTGTGTCAGCCCTGTCACATGTCAAGAGGGAGTCGGGTGGTGGAGGTCTAAGCAGGCAATCCAGGAAGCTCCCAGCCATTTCACCTCTGCTGCTTAGGGACTCTACACTGACCTCTACCCCAGCCTCCCTCCCATGATCCCCCTTCTGCAGTCCTCCCCTGTAGCCTCCTTCCCTCCCTCCCTCCCTCCCTCCCTCCCTCCCTCCCTCCCTCCCTCCCTCCCTCCCTCCCAGGTTCCCCTAGCATCTCTCCCCTCGAACCCCTTCAGCCTACCAAAGTGATCAGTGTCTTCTCAGCTTCTAGTGTCTTTGGGGGCAGGAACTGCTGAAGCTGGGAAGAGAAACCAAGAAAAACATAGGAAAACAAACAAACAAAAAAACTACATTAGGACTAAGATACAGAGAACAGGCTTCATGTTCCATTCATCACCACCACCGCCGCCGTCAAGGGGTATTTCACACTGGCAGATTGCACAGCAGTTGCAGCCCTGAGGAAGCTCTCACTCTGGATGTAGGTTCTACTTGGGGGGGGGGGTGTTCTGGAAGGCAGCCAGAAGACCTGGATCTTATCTGGACTTGACCATTTACAAGCTGCGGGACCTGGAGGAGCTACCCACCCTCTCTGGGCCTTGGCTGTAATAACAGGGTCCCGGGGTGCATTGCCCTGCCCGACTTTTGCGTTGCAGGAACCCAGGACCCTGTGCTTGCTGCAGATTGAGCAGCTGCTCTGGCCCCACTGTCCTGCTGAGGCCTGGAAATGATCTTTCAGAGCTGTGTTTAGCTCGAGACTGGAACGGGGTGGACTTTGCAGTGGTTCTGTAGCCCCTGGAGCTATAGCACTGGATACAGAACTGGAGCTATAGCATTGGAGTGTCCGCTGGTTCTGGGAGGCGACTGCTTCCTGACACAATGCATTCGGGCCCTCCCTGCAGGGGTGGGGTGTTTGCTCAGTGACTGGCAACCGAGCTGGTCTGTTTCTTCCCCTAAGACCTTCTGTAAATAGAAACTATTTGGGCTGAACTAGAAGCAGAGGCCTGAAGAACAGAGCTTGGATTATTGTGGTAAGCCAAAGTAAACCATGGGTGAAACAGCTCCCTCCCTCAAGGCCTTCCCCTGGGACAAGGACTCCTGAACCCGCCCCCAGCATGCTCAGGGATCTCCACCTGCTGCCCCTGCTAGTGGCCCTCTTCCAACCGACTTCAAGCCACAGGCTTCCTCTGCATGTGTCCTCCGCAGTGGGCTCTGTCTCTTTCCACGAGGGTTTCTTCTGGTGACGAGAACTACTGTGTCTTTTCGTTTTTCTAACCCTACTGCCTACACAGTACAACTTCCCGTCCACACTGCCTTTTTTTTGAGGCCTGGGGTAGATGCTTGTTCAGTGGTTAGAGATTTGTGGCCCAAGTGTGAGGACCAGAGTTTGGGTCCTCAGATGCCAGGTGAGTGTGGCTGCCAGCCTGTCATTCCAGCCTGGGAAGACAGAGGGAGGTGACCTCCAGAGCAAGCTGGCTATTGGCTACAGAGACGGGCCACATGGATGAGCTCTGGGTTTGACTGAGAGACCCTGCCACGGTGGACTACACGTCCCTCAACCTGTGAGCCCCAGCAAGCCCAGTGCTCAAGCAGTAAGGTGAGCAGGAACAGAGCGCTGACAGACGCCAGCCAAGATGAACCTTAGAAACATCATGCCCAGTGACAGAGGCTAGACACACAAGCTCACAGATCGAGTCCATTTCTGCGAAAGGTCCTGAATAGGCAAATTCTCCGAGACTCAAAGCAGATGCGTCCCTAGCAGGGCTGAAGGGAAGGATGATGGAAAACTTGAAACCCCATGGAGGGGGCCAGTGTAGAACAGTAAGTAGACTAAATGTCACTGATTGTAGACTATAAAACGGTCAGTTGTATGTTACACAAATAAACAATCATGGACACATGACAACACTGTGAGGAACATTCACCACCGTTATCACAACTCTCATCCCCACAACTTACCTTGTGTCTGGCCGGTTTCCAAGCTGTCAGCTTTCTTTTGGAGACCAAACGATGTTAAACCACATGGATTAAAACTGCCAACTTTCTCATCTTTAGTACTTTTGAATGTTAAGAAAAAACATGAAAAGATTTTTTTAAAAAACCCTGTGCTACAATTAGATGGATAAAAGCAGTTTCTTTCATCCGCTGCATGCACTCAAAAATTCTATATTCTGGTAGGTAAGTAAATTAAGATCACAAGCTGTTTTCAAACGTAGAGTTTGTTGCTGTGCAAAAAGCTGATAATAATTTCAGAAATGCTGCAGGTTGCGGACATCTGGTGAAAATGTTAACTTTGTACTTTTTCCTTTGTTGTCTGGGCTTTCAAATACTTTTTTCTTTTCTTTCCCTCTCTCTCTGTCTCTCCCTCCCTCCCTCCGTCTTTCTGCAGGGTTCCTCTGTGTAGCCCTGGCTATCCCAAAATCCTCTCTGTAGACCAGGCTGGGCTCGGAATTCGGAGAGAGTCACCTGCCTCTGCCTTCTGAGTGCTGGGATTAAAAGCATGCGCCATCACTGCCAGGCTCAAATATTTTTGTAAACTGCTGAAAAGTTCCGGGGTCCTGGCACCAGACCCCAATTGCCTGATGGGTAAAATGAGCAACCTTTCACAAGTGCCCTTCTGACCCTAGGCCTATTAATTGAAGATTTTTTTGTCCTTATGTGTGTGTGCGCGTATACTCATATGTGTGAATACAGGCATTTGCACCACCCCATGGTGTATGTGTAGGGCTCAGAGACCAACCACGCCTTGCCTTCTCTTGTTGGCTGCTGGGTAAGCCTGGCTAGATCTATTTGGATTCCCCAAATAGATGGTTTCCGTCACGCTGGCTCTGCCTCCACCATTTGTGGTAGTCATCTGGGCCAAGGGGTGGTCACCTTGGTTCTTTGGAAAGGCATGCAGGTCTGTACCTTTACGTCGCTCTTGAGCAAGAGGGAGCTATGTGACACTCAAGAAAATGACGCAGGGAATTCAAGAAAGAAGCCCTTAGGGAGGTGCGTGTTAGAGGAGGTGGCCGTTGTCATCGATACAAAGGGACAAATACTAGACTCTTCAATGAGGCAGATCTGGAGTGTGAGTGGGGAGGAGCAGCAAGGGGAGCCACGTGTCTTTGCTGTTGCTGCTAGAAGTTACCCGGCAATGACGTGGCTGAAACACCTGTGGGGCCACAGGGAGATGGTACGATAGGTTAAAAAACCACTTGCCACACGGGTGTGAGGACCCACGTTTGATCCCCCCAAACCTGAGTCAAAATAGCAGAGCGTGGGCACACAGGCTTGTAGTACAAGCATTGAAGAGGAGGCGATAGGTGGATCCCTGGAGCTGGTTAGACAGACACCCTAATAGGATTGATAGACCCCCACCCGAGGCCAATCAGAGATCCTGTCTCAAAATACATATTTGGGGCAACTAAGGAAGGTACCTGATGCCACATACACGTGTATACAGGGATACATGCACGCCACACACACACACACACACACACACACACACACACACACACTCCTTGCAAGTCTGGAGGCCAGAAATATGGTCAGTTAGTACCAGTTTTTTTATTAGGCTAAAGTCAAGGACTAAGCGAGGCCGTCTCCTTTCTGAAGGCCCAGGGGTAAACACTCTGTTGCCTCTTCTAGCTTTTCCAAATGCTGCTCCTCTGCCTCAGTTTTGTCTCCTCCCGCCATGTCCTTCCCCGCTCTGGTCACGTCCGTCCCCCTTTACTCTGCTTCCGGCTTGCACATCCCATCCGTCGGCCCCGCGGTTAAACCCAGTGTATGCCTGTTATCATGCAGGCAGTCTGAAATCCACCTGCAACCTCCCTTCTTTGCCGTGCGCGGTAGGGTATCCGTGGTCTGGGCGTGAGGTTATGGACACTCCTGAAACAGAAGCCAGAGGTACTAAGCAGGGTTGCCTGCTTGGTGTTGGCATCCCTCAGACGTTCTCTGGCAGCCCCCTGGATCAGACGAAGGTTTGGTTTATCAGGGAGGACCTGCAAATAGCCTCATCCATGCCCAGGCGGGGCTGCTTGGGACAGGGTAAGAGTCGTCCGGGGTTTGCATGGGTGGTCCTGGAGAATATGGGGGATCAGAGTGAGACAGACAAGAGAATCAGGGTTCATCAGTGGCTCCTGCTTTAGTCCCTTGCTTCCGGGCTCCTGCCCTGAGCCCCTGTCCTGACCTTTCTCCATGATACGCTATAAACTATAAGCTGCAATAAACCCTTTCCTTCCCAAGTTGCTTTTTTGGTCATGGTGCTTCCATCACAGCAATAGAAAGTCCTTTTCGTCTTCCTCTCTTCCTCCGATTCTTCTTCCTCCCTTCCTCCTCTTCTTCTTCCTCCCTTCCGCCTCTGTGTGTGTGTGTGTGTGTGTGTGTGTGTGTGTGTGCGTGCCTGTGTGTACGTGTGTGTGTGTGTGTGTGTGTGTGTATGTGCGTGCGCACGCGTGCCACAATGAGGGCAAGTGAAGGCTAGGAGGCAGCTTCCAGGAGTTAGCTCCCCACATCCGAGGTCGGGTCTGCCTTGCTTCTGCCATTGTGCTGTGAGCTCCTGGCTGGCTGGCCCTGGAGATTCTGGCCTTCCGGTGTTATTGCCCCCGCCCCCCTCCGCCGCCACATCAGGCTTCTTACATGGGTTCCTGGGGGGGGGATGAACTCAGGTGATGCAGCGAGCACGTTTGTCTACCAAGCCATCTCCCTGGCCCACTTCTCTCGTCTTAAATCTCGACAGGTTTTGGGTCTATCTCCCCTGCTCTTAGAAAGGTGGCCGTGATTACATTTAGGGTCATCTCCCCGTCTCAAGGTCCTTTCACCCAGACACATGCACAAAGTCCCTTGGACACGATGGGACTATCCAGGTCTTAGAGCTTGGACGCCCCTGTTCCACCTGTCACATCTTCTCAGCCACGTTCTCTCTTGTCTTCTCCTCAGCCAGGAAGCGTCTCTCACCACACTGCTCTGGCCTCCAGAATTCTCTCAACAAAAGCCTTTTATTCCTCCCTTGAATGTTCCAAGTCTCACCAACTTCCACCTCCCCTTGGGATGGTTAGAAAGAAGATGGCCCCCTAAGGGAGGGGCACTGCTAGGAGGCGTGGCCTTGGTGGAGTAGGTGTGGTCTTGTTGGAGGAAGTTTGTCACTGTGGAGGCGGGCTCTGGGAGGGGGGTCTCTCATACAGTGCCTCAGTTCAGTTCCTGTTGACTGCAAACCGAGATACAGAACTCTCACCTCCTTCTTCCCCAGCACCATGTCTGCTTGCCCATAATGACAGGGGATTAAACCTCTGAAACTGTAAGCTGACACGTCAGTTAAATGTTTTCCCTCCAGGCCCCGCCCCCACACCAGAGCTCCCACCTCCTCCCCCAGGTCCCGCCCCCACATCAGAGCTCCCACCTCCTCCCTCCAGGCCCCGCCCCCACATCAGGGCGCCCACTCCCATCCTGCTCACTCATTGGAACACCAACGATATGTCCTGCTGACGTTTTCCTGTGTCTCCTCCCTGATCAGTGCAGAGACATCTTTGGTATTTCATCTGTGCTCCTAAGAGTTAGGAATCACTACACAGAGCCAATCAATCAATCAATCAATCAATCAATCAATCAATCAATCAATCAGTCAGGGAGCAATTGGTGGTCTTCCCTCGAGAGTAGGATGGAACTGGGCCCTGTCGGGATGACAGTGACCAAAGTAACCCGAATGATCAGGGTAGACCCTGCAAAAGGGACGAAGGGACCAAGCATGAGCCCCAACAAACCCTCAGGAGGGACCACCGCCCCTCCCCTTACCCAGGTGCTGAGTGACTCCGTTGGGCTGTGCAATTTCATCCTCTGATACACTTAGGAATAAGGGAGAGACGCCCTTTAGAGTGTTCTAAATACAGCTGTGCTTAGACCCAGAGAACTTGGACAACCTTTCTGGTTCTTTCCACCCCAGCTGTCCCTTGAGGACGGAGGCCCCAGGAGAACCTCGTGGGACCCCCTTCGCTCCCAGCTGAGATTCTTTGGTGCTGATTTTTTTCCTGACACCGTTGGTCAGGAAAAATGCCAGAAAAGCCAATTAGCTGAAAGAGGTCATTTCCAGCAGCTGTTTGCAACTACCCAAACTAGATTGTGACTGAAGATAACAAGCACTTGCTGTTGTAAGAAACCATCTCAGGATCACGGTGTCTTAACAAAGACACTGGTCCCGAAGCATCTGGCATCTCTCCTGGGCTTACTCTGTGTGGTAACTCAGGGGTCCTGTCAACTCACCTTCAATACATAACCTCCGGGACTGTCACAAAAGAGGAAAAGAACCGTGTCAAAGGTCAGTGTGAAAGCGTCATGGCCAGAACCCAAGGGGATGGACGAGGTGGCTTCAATGCAGGCTGGGAAATGTAGTCTTCTTGTGTGCCCAGGAAGAAGATACAGGGTTACCCCTCTATCTCTGCACCAGGTCCACAAACGCGGAGCACCGTATGTGACCTCCTCTGAACGTCTGATTGACATGACATTTGCCCTAGCAGTCACAGATGCCTGGAAGCATGCAGACCAAACCCCGAGGTCACCAACTGCTCCTGGTGTCCTGACACTACCAGTGACGTGCTTCTGCGGTCACACGCACAGGAGGGAGTGTATGGCGTCCTCGGGTGATCACACTTAGGGATCTGTTTGATTTTCTTTCCAGATAGTTTAAGAACCAAGTTCCAGAGCATTTGGCTTCAGGACCCAAAGGTTGAGCTCTCTGTCTTAGAATTCTGCTGGCTGCTGTGACTATTACTTGGTTACTGTCAGCAAAATGCCTGTGCCCCTGGGTTGAAGGCCCTAGCTCTCCCACCATGGATTGGGATGGACAGCAGAGGTTGCCTTCCGGTACACTCTGTTTTCCAGCATGGGTGCCTGCTTCAGGCTGAGGACCCTCACAAGCATCCTCCCAGGGAAGGGCCTGCTTTGGCTGGAGTGTGGAGGACTTTTGTCCATATAAAGGGCCATGCATAGCCGGGAGGCAGAGGCAGGCGGATCTCTGATAGTTCGAGGCCGGGCTGGACCGATAGCCTCCAAAACAATACAGCGAAACCCTGACTTGTAAAAACCAAAAATAAAAAATAAAAATAAATAAATAAAGGGCCATGCGTAGGGTCTCTGAAGGTTGAGGTTCTTTGTAAAGTTGAGTGTAAGCAAGAAAGCTTCTACAACAGCATGTGGAAGACGTCACTGATGTCAGCTTAACCGGCCTCTAGAACCCTGTGACTTATTTCCTAACGCCTCCCACTTGGTACTCCTTGAAATAATATTCCAAGGAGGTCCAAGCAGAGGAGTGTTCAAATAAATCAATGACTGCCACGGGAATGCATGAGTAATAGAACATATCACGGCCCAGGCCTCCGAAGCCACGCCGGGTAGGCGAGAGCACGCCTCCTGGCCGGTGCACGGCTGCCACACCTGTGCCTGTGGCTCTATTGAGTTTTTATTGCAAAACAGAAGGTTTTTCTCTTCCAGCCCTCTCTGTCGCTTCTCAGTGAGGAGTCACGATAGCGGGGTGAAAAATGAAGCCAAGATGTCTTTGAACTTGGTTGTTTCATGTGCTTTTCTTTCTCTCTCCCCCCTCTCTCTTTTTTTAAAAACATTTTGATCTGAAACATCTGTTTTTGCTTAAAAGCACATCTACACCAGTGACCATTTACATGGAGCCCTTGGAGATCAGTTCGCGCAGATGTTTGCCTGTTGTGGGATTTTGTGTGATTCACTTAAAAACAAACCAAAACAAAACAAAAAGGTGGAATTCATTTCTTCTCTTCTCCCTTCCCGATGGAGCTACATCCCAGAAATTTGCAAACCTTACATTTCTGCGTACGCAAAGCACACCCTCTCCGCCTGTGCTAACGTGTGAGTCATGTTATTGTTGTGATGGACGGACTAATGACTCATTTTCGTACTTACGAGGGCTACAAGATGGTTACAGGAAGGGGCTGACTGGCTTCTAAGGTTGGTAATGAGATTACTCACCCCAGTGGAGTGAGGTTGGTGTGAAGAAGGCTGGGACTAGCACACTCAGGCTTGTGCAATGTAGACAGCCGTTGTCTTGGCTCAGAGCAAGGGAGCGAGGCAAACTGGAAGTGATTAGGGAAAGCTGGGGCGTACGGGCCATCAGGCAGCCCAGCCAGACCGGGCCTTGAATGTTGAAGGTGGGTGGCGGGGAGGGACACTGAAAGCGAAACCACACTCTGTGGGTGAACACTCCCCGCCAAAGGCAACTCGGGTGAGAAAGGGCTTATTTAGCTTACAGTTCCAGGTCACACTCCGTCGTCGTCCTGGAGACATCAAGGCAGGCGCCAAGGCAGAGGCAGCGTCTTGCCCACGATCACACCCGCCGTCAAGAGCAGAGAGAATAGATGCACCCGCCTGCCTTTGCCTGCTCACTTGTGCTTACGACGGTAGCTTTCTCTACTCTCACTACAGTTCAGGGTCAACCCTAGAAATGGTGTCTCCCCCACGTCCAGGGTGGGTCTACCTACCTCAGTTGACAGTCAAGGTGACCCTCCCAGACACAGCCACCGGCCAGTCTGATCTAGACAATTCCTCACCGTGATCCCCTTCCAAGGTGTTTCTGTGCTGTGACAAGTTAACAGTTAAAATGACCAGAACGACATATGTCTGGAAGATGTTCAGCCACGGGCTTTGCCGTGGAGACTCGGGCAATGTGAGCAGGAGGCCCCCAGTTGGTGTGCTATCGGGCCCTACTGTCTGCAGGTAGAGGTACCCTGCCATCTTGTCCTTGGGGTCCCAGGGAGCTCTGCATCACCTAAGGAAGGTAGAGCAAATGGGGGTACTGTTGGGGTCCTACCCCTGTGTGACCCCTGCCTCCACTCCTGTTCTCCTTCCTGCCTTGCCCAGACATTGGTGGCATGCTGGCGATTGAGTTCTATTTAATTTCTATTAATCCCATGCCCATGCCTAAAAGAGGCTTCATATGCTTGGGATAAATTATGAAGCCATCTTTTCTCTGTAAAATCACACATGTGGTTTCTGTTCCCATCTCAGTTACCTTTTCCGTTGCTGGTACATAATAGCCAACAAAATCAGCTCAAAGAAGGAAGAAAGAATGAAGGGTTTGCGCTCACAGCTTAAGGGTTCAGTGTTGCTGTAGTTTCTTTTCCTGCTATCCTTTGGCCCCAAAATAAACACACAGAGACATATATTAATTATAAACCTGTTGGATGGTAGCTAAGGCTTCTTATTGGCTAGCTCTCTCTTAACTATTAACCCATTTCTATTAATCTAAGTATTTTCACGTGGTCTTGGCTTACCAGAGAATGCCTGGACCTGCTATTCCTTTGGTGGCTACACAGCATCCTTGCATGATGCCTCTCTCCCAGCCTCCTCCTCATCTCCTAGCCCTGCCTATCTTCCTGCTCTACTGGCTATTGGTCAAACCGTGTTTTATTCCTCAACCAATAAGAGAAACATATATACGGAAGGACGTCCCCCATCAGTTCAGTCCATCACCGCGGGGAGTCATGGCAGCAGGAGTGTGAGGCAGATGGTCACAGTGCATCTGCAGGAAGGAAGCAGAGAGAGCTGCAGGCTGGTGCTCAGGTGTAGCTGGAGTCTCTGTTCCGCCTGGTCCCCCCCTTACCCTTCAGCCCCAAATAAACACACAGAGACTTACAATAATTTATTAAACTGTTTGGCCAATGGCTTAGGCTTCTCACTGGCTAGCTCTCTCAACTATCAACCCATAACTATTAATCTATGTATGTCTACATGACCTTATCTTACCAGAGAACACTCCAGCATGTTACTCCTTCAGCTTTTCTCTTTTCTCTACCCAGCATTCTCCTTGTCTGGTAGCTCCACCTATAATTCCTGTCTGGCTATTGGCCAATCAGTGTTTTATCCATCAACCTATAAGATAAACATAGATACAGAAGGACGTCCCTCATCACTCAGGTCACTGTCTCTATACCTTTTAGTCTAGGACCCAGCAACCCATGGAATAGTGCCAATCACATTGACTGTGGCTCTTCCCACTTCGATTAGCATAGTCTAGAAGTACCTTACAGATGTGTGCACAGGTGGTGATCTCAAACCCTGTCAGGCCTACAATCCAGACTGAATGTCACAGCACCCATGTACCTCTTTTCCTGGAATCATTTGTATTAAAACATCTTAAGGTTTTCCACCTGTGTCTTAGTTAGGGTTTCTATTGCTGGGAAGAGAGACACAGTGGCCAAGACAACTCTTCTAAAGAAGAACCTTTGATTGGGGTGGCTTACATTTTCAGAGGTTTAATCCATTATCATCCTGGTGGGACATGTTGGTATGTAGGCAGACATGGTGCTGGAGAAGTAGCTGAGAGCCCTACATCTTCACTTGCAGGCAACAGGAAGTGGTCTGTCTCACTGGGTATGGCTTGAGCATATATGAGACCTGAAAGCCTGCATCATAGTGACACACTTCCTCTAACAAGACCACACCTCCTAATAGTGCCACTTCCTTTAGGGACCATTTTCTTTCAAACCATCACGACCTGTGACCCCTTTGCACTCAAGAAATTTTTGTTTTGTTTTGTTTTGTTTTGTTTTTTTGAGACAGGGTTTCTCTTTGTAGTCCTGACCATCCTGGAACTTACTCTGTAGACCAGGTTGACCTCAGACTCAGAGTTCTGCCTGCCTCTGCTTCCTAAGTGCTGGGATTAAAGGTGTGTGCCACCATGCCTGACTTCACTCACAAATTGTTATCTAACCTCAAATATATAACATAGGTACACGAGCAAACATATATTGATAACTTATCAAAACTGATCTTAAAACCATTCTTCAGTATTCATATAATTTTAGCATTTATGAAAGACAAAACCAGAATTTTATACTAGTTAGATGACCGATTTACGTAAGGAATTGAATACTGGAAGAATAGTTTATGGTGTAAGGTGTAGAACATTTTCCGGTTTCTTAAGCAAGGTTGATATGTTGATTTTAATCATTGATGCCACGAATTCTACTTTGTAGATTCACATACACATGGAAGGTGTATACTTAGGGCCATTGTCTGAAACCTGTCCTGATCCAAGCCAAAAGTGAATTAACTAATTAATTAACTAATTAATTGAATGATTTTTCTTTAGTGAGACTCAAATAAGCAACTCAGACAGCCATTTTAAAAATCAAACCTCCTGACACAACACATGGTGGTCTGGAGCATGAGCTGAGGTATTTCAAATACTGTTCATTGGGCTGGTGCGGCCTGAGGGTGTGCACACAGTCATCTCAGTGCACATACTGAGTGCTCACAATCCTAGCTACAGTGAAGCCACCGGGTGAGTGACACCAGAAACATCTTGGATTCATTATGAGTTATTTGACTTTTGCATCAATTTTTGGTTTGTGTGTTCAAAAACCTTTTACCATTGCTGAATTTTCTTGTGGACCCCACATTTGGCTGTGCAATCCAGCATGGGTTGCAATTCACATTTTAAGAAGCCAGGCTGTGTGCCGAGTTAAGTCCACCTAAGGTGAGTTTGCTTTGAATGGATGATAGAGGCTGTTGCAGCACTTCTTGTCCCATTGCCCCTGGGCCCCAAATAAACACACGGAGGCTACATTAATTGTGAAGCTGTTGGCCGATGGCTTGGGCTTCTTATTGGATCACTGTCTTAATTGTTAACTTGTTAGCACATTTCTACTATCTATGTATTGCCAGGAGACTATGGCTTACCCAGTAATGCCCCCGTGTGTTTCTCTCTCTCTCTCTCTCTCTCTCTCTCTCTCTCTCTCTCTCTCTCTGTGTGTGTGTGTGTCTCTGTCTCTCTGTGTGTGTGTGTGTGTGTGTGTCTGTCTATCTATATGTGGTGTCTCTCTCCATCTCCCCCCCCCCCACCTTTCTGTCTCCAGGGTCTCACTATGTAGCCCTAGCTGGCGTGGAACTCTCATGTAGATATCAGTCTGGACCTGAGCATGTGCCTATGCTTTCGGAGTCCTGGGATTAAAGCCCCAACCCACGATGCTGGGCTGCTCTCATTTTCATGGACAAATGAAAGCACTAAGTCTCTGCCTGGTTAATCGCTTTACTCTTTACACCTTAAAAATTTGCTTTTACTCTCAACTGCCTTGATAAGACCCTCATTTTCTATTCATTAGCCAATAAGAGAAACATATATACAGAAGGACATTTCCATCATCAGGCAAATTGAAGGTCCATAAGTGACTAATTAGAAGGGAACTGGAGACAAATTTCCCCTTGGAAAAAAGTCCATTAGGAGATTGACAGCAACATGGCCTTGGTGGGGCCCTTAAGGAGAACACGTCCGCAGGTATGAGGAGGAGTTTCATTAGGGGACATAACTGTCATCGGTAGCATGATAGGATCCTGAAGGGGGAGGCAGATCTTTCAGTCCTGGAGAAATGAAGATAACCCTTGATAGGTTTCTAGAAGGTTGGGGAGCTCCATGCATGCCACACGGCCTAGCCCGTGGGCCAGGAGTCTCAGGCAGAAGGTCATGAGATTAAAGTAACTCAGAGTTGCCTTGGTTGGGTCCCAGGTTGGAGGCTGGGGCCGCGGGGAGAGGGGGAGACACTGAAGGTGTTGTGGGAGAGTGCACTAGAGAAGGCTAACCAGACACGGGTGTCATCCAATAGGAAGTCTTTATTAGTGACTGGCGACTACACTTGGGTGTTCAGGATCCCAGTGCAGCCCCGAGCTGTGGGAACACCAGACCTTGAGCAGAGACCCACTTCCCCTTCTGCCTGGGAGTAGGCAGCTGTAAGACAA